ATACTGACATAGTAATCACTACGTCTGACCAAATCCATACTTTTACTACTTAATTTCTACTGCAATATATATTCCTTTAAATTTATTTTTTTAAGAAAAAGATAATGTGCAAAGTAAATTAACCAAATATTAATTAGATATACATATAATAACATAGTAATAAGTAAGTCTGACCAAATCCATACTTTTACTACTTAATTTCTACTGCAGTATATATTCCTTCGAATTTTTTATTTTTTAAAGAAAAAGATAACGTGCAAAGTAAATTAATTATTAAATTAAATATAATTAGATGTTCATATATTGACATAGTAATCAATACGTTTGACCAAATTCATGCTTTTACTACTTAATATATTCTACAGGAAAATATATCCCTTTAAATTTATATTTCTTAAAGAAAAAGATAGATGTGTAAAGCAATTTAATCAAATGTTAATAATATATGTACATACATACATTAATATCGTATCAGTACGTCTGATTAAATTTATGCATATACTACTTAATTTGTTCTATTGTAGTACATATTCCTTTGAAATTTTTACTTTTTAAAGAAAAAGATAATGTGCAAAGTAAATTAATTATTAAATTAAATATAATTAGATGTACATATATTGACATAGTAATAAGTACGTCTGACCAAATTCATGCTTTTGCTACTTAATATATTCTACAGGAAAATATATTCCTTTAAATTTATATTTTTTAAAGAAAAAGATAGATGTGTAAAGCAAATTAATCAAATGTTAATAATATATGTACATACATACATTAATATCGCATTAGTACGTCTGACCAAATTTATGCATATACTACTTAATTTGTTCTATTGTAATATATATTCCTTTGAAATTTTTACTTTTTAAAGAAAAAGATAACGTGCAAAGTAAATTAATCAAATATTAATTAGATGTACATATATTGACATAGTAATAAGTAAGTCTGACCAAATCCATACTTTTACTACTTAATTTGTTCTACTGCAGTATGTATTCTTTCGAATTTTTTATTTTTTCAAGGAAAAGATAGATGTGCAAAGTAAATTAATCGATCATTAATTAGATGTACATATATTGACATAGTAATTAGTACGTCTGACCAAATCCATATTTTTACTACTTAATTTCTACTGCAGTATTTATTCCTTCGAATTTTTTATTTTTTAAAGAAAAAGATAACGTGCAAAGTAAATTAATTATTAAATTAAATATAATTAGATGTTCATATATTGACATAGTAATCATTACTTCTGACCAAATTCATGTTTTTACTACTTAATTTGTTCTACTGTATTATATTTTCCTTTGAATTTTCACAACATTCGCAAATAAAGCATGAAATTATGAATAACATCGGAGATGTTATTAAAGTAGCTTTTTAAAAAAAGTTTTGCAAAAATAAAATGTTTATTTATATGAGATTTGCGTAAAAATTAAAGTATATTTAATCTTGCGAAATTATTTCTCTATTCTGTATAATAGTACTAATTATATAAAAAAAATAAATTAAATAAAATAAAAGTTTGTTTTTTTATCATTATTTATATACATATATATAATTTTTAATTTTAATTAGATTGTCACATGTTTTGTTGATGTTTAATTAAATTATTTAAATATGACAAACATCTCGAATCAAATGTTCAATATGTTATATATAGATCCGCTATTACACATGGAGCGAAATAAAAACAATGCGTCGCTCGACGCACTCTATTGCGATCTCAATGTATCTCACCCACCCGTGTACTGACCTACCCTAACTCGGGTTGCACCATTGAGATGTTGCTCAGCTGCAGCTGCGTACCTCGAAGGGCTGTGCGTTACGTCATGCTCACAGTCGACCGTAGTTGGCACGCGGCTTCGCCCTACGCAGACACTCGAGTTTGATTTATGTACCCTATGGCGTTCAAGCGGATAGCACACGCCGACACGAGCACCGACAGAGAATTCTCTTTAGAAATTTTTAGATGTAAGAAAGGAAAACTTTATTGCACTAAAAAACTACCTACATTTTTTTCTATTTATTTTCTTCTCTACATATTAAATTATCTACATGTATATTAGTTTTTAATTACATCTCTAGTGTCATATGTGTGTCATCAGTAACATTTTAGATTGCATTTGCATTTGTATCACTATTAAATACATTCAGATATTTCTAAAAATATTTTTTTGATTAATTCATTATGTCACATGATTTCTCTTTTTAAATGTTTTTCTGCAATTATTTGTACAAGCTAATTTCTGTAAAAAAAAAACTAGTACTTTCGAAATATAAAATAATTAAATATTTCTACTCTATCTATCTATCTATTATATGTTTATTGTTTTAAATGAATAAATAAAATATTATAATAAAAAATATATTTTTCTTAATCGCGATAGAATCTTTTTTAAATAAAATAAACAATCAACTTTTTTCAATTTTGAATTAAAATTATAAAAAATATATTTTATTGTAAAATTTAAAAAATATAGTAAAAATATTTTTACAAACAGAATATAAATTTTCTGCTACATTCATGTTATTCATTCAAAAAGGAAAACACGTTTCTATTTCTATTTTTTAAGTAAAGTAAAAAACAATTTCTTTACGTTTATATTACTTAATGTAAAAAAATGTATATTTTAATTTTACAGTAAATTATTTTAATTCCTAATATATGTGTATACATAAGATTAATTTAATGTAATTTTTATTCTCTTCACACAGTCACATACACATACACAATATTCATAGAAATGCAATCACACTGCTTTTTATATCTTCACAGTGTTGATGCCCACCGGCAGAATTCCCAAAACCAGCAATCCTTTCTATTTTTTTTTCTACGGAAAGCATCGACCGGAAGCAAAAGTGTCTACGTGTCGATGCCGAAAAATTGATTTCAAATGACATCTATGAATGGCAGTGTCATACCATCGAGTGTCGAGTGTTTAATATATGTATGTACAAAATATCTCCAAAGAATATGTAGTGTAATAGTATATAAATATTTGTTGTTAAAATAATTTTCATTTCAGATTTTTCATTTAAAATTTTATTTAAATTTAAATGATTGTATTTTTTAATTATTAAAGTTAAAATACTTTAAATCCTCAATTTTTTAATTAAAAAATGAAAATCTGAATTAATAAAATTTGATCTGAAAATTAAAAGTTAAAAAATTTTACTGAACTGTCTCTCATAAATACAATTATTATTTTGTATATTTATGTATATTATACATATATATTAATGTTTATGTGTGTCGAAAAAACGTAAATATGTTAAAATATTATTAAAGCTTTAGCTCTCTTTTTCATCTTCTTAAGTCAAATAAATCTTATTAAATAAATATACTTATTGAAAGCATTATAATTAGATTGCATTTAAATATTGATCTTTTACAAATAAATATTTGTCAGAATTTTTTTCGGTGCATTGCCATCAAAGCAAACATCATTTGTATGAAAAATTAGATATATTCAAGAGCAATTTGTGCGTTCGCATATTAATCAATTAAAAAAATGTACTATTATTTTTTTCAATTAGTTATACTACAAATATTTTCTTGTTTAAATTTTAATTTAAAATATAGATTTGTATTTAAAAACATATACATATATTAAAGTTATACATATGTATATTCGAAATTAATTAATATTGTAAAAAATGAAAATAATGATTAACATATGTACATACATATTAGTCATCTCGTTACTTTTGTAAAGTGAATTTTATTTTTAAAAAATATGAAATTTCTCTTATTAGTTTTTAACAGTATAGTATTACAACTTTAAACTTTATTGCATTCACATGCTAATTATGTGTTTAACATTATTTTTACACATAATATTCTTTAGGTTAGTCTAAAGTTATATTTTTTATTCAATTATATTAAATATGTATGCACAAATGTAATAAATATTGCAAATGTCATACTAAAGTGCATGTTATATTTTTACTTAATAAACTCCTTAAATAATTGCGAAAAATCTTTTTAAAGTTGAGATTGCAATGGGAGGTTTGTCTAACAAAAGGTTTAAATTTTCAAGTTTGTATAAATGACAAAGTGATACAATCTCCCAGTCATAAAAGTTTAAAATGAAAATTAAAATGTTACTGGTGCTATCATAAACTATGTTAAAAGTAAAGAATTAGAAAATCTTGCAAAGAGATTTATGAAAATATTTTAGAGAATATATTCAAACTCTAGGAAAATAAATCAACTAGTATAAGCTAGCTAATCTAAAATTTAGATACATAATCTCTATTGTAAGTTTGACATATGAATCTTAATCTCTCAGTTCTGCAATGTAAAAGGCTCTAAACTCTCGATCCTTAATTTCCAACTTAGTTATTTTCACCTTTTGACTTTCAACCCTCAATTTTTGCCAACATTTTAATCATATTATTGCCACTAACTATTTCTTCTTTTCTTACAGTCTTTGTTATATAATTATCAAGCCGGTTTCGACAATGCGTATATGCATAATCAAGACTGCAGCTCGCGAAGATTATGCCGGACGAAAAAGCTAGAGGCCCGTAAAAGCTCGAGTTAAGCTAAGTTTCCCTCTCGCATCAATGGCACGTACACAGAAGGGGTAGGCGTGGCACTCTGCGTCGGATGCTCGCGCGTGCACCGGACGTAAAGGGATGAGATGGGTATGAGCAAGAGGGTGGATACGTGCGTGCGGAATACCGCGCGAGACGAAGATAGAGACGAGGACGGAGTTATTTCGCGAGAGAATGAAAGGGAACGGACGACGCATGCGAGCGAGATGAGGACGACAAATAAAGAAGAAGCGAGGAGAGAACGAGCGAGAAGGATTGAAACCGCGCAGGGAAGCTGCGAGAAACGTTCCTCCTTATCCCGTCGCACGCGAGAGAAAGAGATGGAAAATGCGCGCCGCGAAAGAGAGGGAGCATGGAGGTGGAAGTGAGAGCCGGATGGAGGAAGACAGAGAGACAGGGCGCGAGACCGCGCGACGCTTTCAGTCACCGCCCGATCCTCGGCGCGCACGGTTTCGGAGCGGGTGTTTCTCTGCGAAGCTCGTGGAAATACCGTCGGCGGTTTAAATGGAGACCCTTTGTGAAACGATGATCGTGTGATCGACATGTCGAGTGCGAGGGTTGGACGAAAGTAGAGTGGCACTGGATTCTGCACAAATAATAATCGGCGAAGTGGATTGCGCGAGTATACGAGACTTCGATTATATTATCAGAATTAACTTGTCAAAAGTGCGATAAAAATTGAAGAAAACTTTGCAAGAGAATCATGATTCTATATTGTCGCTATGACGTATAAATAAAAACTCGAGTTCGATCGAGTTCGGATGAAAAATCCATCGGGACCAATCGAAATGTAAATGAAGATACTCGTTATTCAGGACGCGAGAATTTTACTAAAGTTTGTGATCTTTTCCTTATTTAAATTTTAGTTAGTTTTTAATTGAAGCAATATCGATTCGTCGAAGGCTTGCATCGATCATGTAGTCGCGAGGCGGTGTCTCAATGATGAGAAACTGAATCCGGCATCGCGGGTGATGTTTTAGAATTAAGTATAGTGGGAAAGATACGACTTTTTCCAGCCGATAATTTTGAATTATTTGGAAACTCTTAGTGTACATAAAGAAGTGTAAGGTGAACATACGCGAACAAACGGTTCTGACCACCCTTTACAAATTCATCTCACGAAATGAAGGACTTCAAACACTCACCCTAAACCGAATTCTTAGGTAAGCGAAATTCAAAAGTACTTTCATATCTATGTCGGTAAATAAATTTTTTCACAAACCAAGAAAGAGTGCATCCCTATATTTTGAAGTCTATTGTTTTTTTAATATATTATTTAGATTTTAATTTTTAATTTAAGATGTATTACAACAGATGAGTGCGTAAAAAATAGTTTAGTTTAAAAAATTTTGTTCATATTTATAATTCAAATGAGAAATTCCTGATCAATTTATATAATAAAATAAAAAAACAATATGCACAATTATACATATTTATAATTGAAATTAAAAATTTAAATTATGTACACACGCCGTACATACATATACATATATACACTCTTTATATAATAGTTATATATTTGTGTAAATTTACATTTACAATATACTTTGTACTATTACATTAATAATATAATTAGTAATACAAAACTCATATGAATACTACTTTTGTCCGTGGTCTCTGTAGTAGTATTTAATTAAACATTTATATTTAAACAGTGCTTCTGCTTGACCCTGTATTAATATCGTTACAATGACAACTTATATTATCATAGTTAAAATTATTATTATAATCATAAATTAGCAATAACTGCAAATTATGATATATCGTTAATTAAAAATTATTTTCTTCCCTAATTATAAAAACTATTAATTTAAAGAAATAATTTTTTTTTATAATGTGACAAGATGTTTCTAGAGTAGAACGTATTAAATTGTATTAATTAATTTAATCCATAACAAGATAAGTATATAAAGTTTCTCAGATTAGCCTTTAATTTCAATGTCTTTTAATTTTTATTTTTACTTAAAGATATTAATTTCAATGTAATAATTTTTCCTTGTTCCTTTATGTTCCTGAGAGTATCTTAGATAACGAATGAAAGTAATTATCCTTATATCCAAAAAAATCTTTAAAAAAATAATTAAAAAGGAAAAGATTATGTATCAAATATAACTGTGACTTATTCTATATCATCAGGTAAAAATTAATATTTTTAAAAAAATTACTTGTTCTTTTTGAACTTTATAATATTTGTATCTCGGTTTGTTTCACAATCAGTGTTCTTCTTAATTATTGATTTGCATAATTTATTTGTGTGTCATAAAATCCGTATTTTGTTTCGATCCGAGTGTAGACGATAATTTTCTTAAACTCTCACACCATTGCACACCTAGAACGACCTATAAAGAGGACGACGTTAAGAAAGACAGTGGTACAATTTCGATGTCGAAGACGAATTATACTCGTTTTTGTGTTTCTCCGGCGTCTTATAAGCAAGACTAGCTGCGGAATAAACAGACAAAACGCGAATGGGGTATTCTAAAAGTGGCGACCGACTCACCCTAGAAGGAGAAAATGTTATTTCGCTAATGGAAAGTCGGATCCGCAAATCGGCGGCATCGCGGCGTTTGTTCGCTTTTTTGTCTTTTGGGGCCCGTACTTTAGCTTTTCAATTTAAAACGACTTTCAAGGGGAACGAGGAGAAGAGTCGTTCGATCGATATCGAGCAGGCCAAATAGCATCGGTAAATTGGAATTGTTACCGATAACGACGTTGTCAGAGCCAGTCGTGGTCGCGTGTCCTTAGAAATCATTCCGCGTAATTCAAGTATAACTTTTATCAAATACAAATACTGTAGTAATGAACGGATATCGGAATCAGTTTCTCGATCACACGATATCTAACGAAATCATTGTTACAAATCTTTAAGTCTTGGAGATTTTAAAAATATAGAATAAAACATTTTTTATAGCATCTACGTAAAACTATTTTTATGAAAATTACATAAATTTTATACAACACAGCACATTTTTCTTATATAAAATCGAGAGTTCAGATTTCTAAACCATATTCCAGATAAAAAAATATTTGCTGTAGTATGAGAATAATATACATGATTGCTGCGTTATACACACAATATAATTCTTAATATATTTAATGTAAACTAATCATTAAATTTAAAATGTATGTTATAAAAAATGCACAATATGTATGTATAAAAAAAGCATATACATATATACATCACGCACGCCCACAAGTGTACAAAGCATAATAAGATAGAGATAGTATTAACTCTTCATGTGCTTTTGTTCATAAAACTAAATAAATTTTATAAATTTTATATTATATAAAATATTCTTCACGATATACAGAGATATTCGCAAAATATATCCGTTTAAAGAATCGTTAAGATTGCAGTTTAATTCTTTTTGTGAAAGCCTTTTAATTATTTTCTCCTTTCTCAATTCTGCATGCATATGACTGATTTTTAATTAGCCGATTCAAACTGAATCAGTCGCAAAGTTTGCAGTAGCGGCAAAGGCAAACTCGTAAATCCTGTATCATTATTACGCGACGTTCGTTAGAAACTTCCGGTTCTGTCTTTGACGTCGCCGAGTTACCGCGCGCGATTCCAGTTTCGTCATATCGCACGGTTGATTCAGTGCACTGATCGTGCAGTTTCGCTGTTATGGCAGCCGTAACGTCGCTTATTGCGAAAAGTTATGGCTTTGCCAGCGTGCACACGTTCGAAGATGCGCATACATATGTACGTGGCGCATAGCGGAGAGAGAAAAGAGAATTTTCATAAATTCTGATTAACACGCGATAAAGCACACCATCCAAGATTATACACTCGGAGTGATGATGCGTTTAAGCTTGTCAAAAATTATAATGTAGACTGTTTAATATTGTGATTTACATAATATGTGATTGTTATTCATGAATCACATAAAAATTATAGCGCAGAATTTTATATCGATTGATTATTCGAGCTCCCAAAGGTATTGTCTTTTTATAATTATTGCAAAATATATTTCTGTGAAGTTGTTGCGAGTATATGCAAAATGTTCATTGCTTCATACGGTGAAATGTATAATTTTTGTGACTAACAGTAAATATACATAATTGAAGAACGAAATCTTATTGTTTTAATCACAAGGTTCAAAATAAAATTATTATTCAAAATAAAATGCCTTAAATATAGAATATAAAAAAATATAAAAAAAATAAAATGTAATTTCTCTTTTAAAAATTATCTTTTACAAAGAATCTATTTTGATATATTAATTTTATGGAATAATTCAAGTTTAAAAGTTGGAAGTTCTGAAACAGTCTGCATATGAAAAGTGTATAGATAAGCGACAGCGGAAGCAAAGTTAATTCGCATATTTATTCTCTTAAGCACGTGTTGGTTGTTATATTTCAGTAGATTAATACGACTATCGTGACAGATAGAGCGCGGCAAATATCGCGACGTCGGATTCGTTACTTTAGTTAATGAGAATATCTATTCACAGCAGCCATAGCTGATGCTTCGATATACTGGCAGACTAATGGAATCGACTCTTTAATTAAATAAAATTGGTGGCACTGAACGTTCACGTAAATTATTGATACGCTCGAGAACTCGCGCAAACGCTGTCCTTCTCGATGCGTTCTCATTCGGGTAACGCCTCGTGCGCAACGAAGAAGAAAACTTAATTATGTAGTTGAAACGAGGAAAGTGTTAACATTCGTTAGTATCATCGGATAAAAACTTATAGCGACTCGAGTGAAAAGAAAATGAATCGGTCATTTCCCGTGTGTTTCAATTTAACTTCTAATTAATTGCAGACAGTTAAGTGTCTCTGAAATTTAGGATTTCAATGTAGGCCACTGGATACGTATTTTATAATTTCTACTTGGATAAACAAATCGTTATACAATCTAGATTTACACTCATACGTCCAATTTAATGAGATTCTTTAATCATTTTGAAATTGATTTTTCCTTGTAAATAAAAATGTCGATGTTATTGAATCGATAATTTGTGTAATTATTTGTACGGCTTTATATAAACCGCTCTGTATATTACAAAATAATCGATTACACGATGAAATATCGGTATTCTGCAAAAGTTAATATAGAAAATAATTGGGTTTGCATAAATACGCGATATTTTACCATCAAAAAGTCATACGTAATGTTTCAATTATTTTAATGTGGTAAAATGTAACAGTATAGAAATTTACAAATATTGTCTATTTAGAATCCATTATTATTTAACTTTTTCTATATTACCATGTGTCACGTTATCGCCATCATGTTGACAGCATTTATACGTGACCGTGATATAAATCTGTCAAATCGTGGACTATTATTTTTCTAGCACATCGCTCGTACATGAATGACATTGATCGCTAGACGTGCTTGACGATTTCTAGCTGTGGCCTCGCAATAGTTCTCCGGTGTAGAATGTGAAACGATATTTATGATACAAATGCATACGTCGTTTCAACGAGAGATCATATAAAGTCATAAAAAATATTCCGAAGAAATAAAAAAGACCAATGATTTAAGCAACGATTTAATCGGTGCAAAGCGATCACATTTAATTCATTAGAGTGCTTAATTATGGCTTTAGTATATTTTTGTTGTTTCCACATAAACATTCTTTTGAAAAATTATGACATTAAGGCAGTATTCTTACACGTAGATACATAAAAATACATGACAATAACAGTTTCTTATTTATATATGCGTGTGCATAAATACTGTTTTTTTGTATTAATTGTGTGTGTGTGTGTTAGAAGAAAAATTTAAATTTTTGTAATCTCTAATTATTTTTTTGATCTTTAGATGCATATCTGTTTTATTATCACTTTACATTCAAGCAAGTGAAAAAAGTAAATTAATTGTTAAAAAAGAGAAACTGCATCAATTACATCGAAGAACATTAAATCGAAGCACTTCAGCCTTGTCTAGAGGTTGAGATATTTCCGGCTTCTCGATAAACAATATAACGTACATTTAGTTTCTGAAAGAGAAAGAGAGCGAGAGAAATATATCTATCTAGCTATTTCACTTGTTTCGCTCGTGAGTGTCGGTGAAATATCTATATATTTCACTTGCTTTGCTTCTACCATACCGAAATAAAATCTATGAGAAACAATATCTTTCTCAGCTTCTAATAAACCATTGCAAAAACTACAAATTTTTCATCAGAATTATATAAATTAAACGT